TTTATCAATCTGTAAATTATTTTTTTTTTTTTATTATTTTTTTTATTTTTGAATTTTTTTTTAGAATTTTGGTATAATGAATGCTCTAAGTGGGATGCTCTGTCAGCTAAAGGCAAGTTTTAGAGTCGCTTTACTCCAGCTAGCGATTAATCGATTTCCAAATCAGTTAATGATTATTTCAATAATCAATTGATCAGAATTCTCCTGACTGCATCATAAGACACAGAGCAGCATCCCCCTTGCACAAATGATTCATAAGCACACATACATTTTTTAATCATCATTAAATAAACCTGACAAATTCTTTCAGCCCTAGCCATATATATACCTTTGGCCATCCCCATATTATAATCTAAACTTACCCTGGAAAGTTAGCATAGTGTATGTCCTGCAACATATTGCCCAGTGCGACTTCTTTATGGATATTTTTTACTTTTTATAATGGATGTTGTGACTTATACTCTGGGTTTACTTATAGTCCGGTAAATACGGTACTTCTATTTATATACTGTATTTACATGTTTACTAAAGGAGGTTGTCTAATTGTTTTTTCGTACTGTTTTAAATCATAAAGACAAGTGAATATTTATTCTGCTGCTATCACTGAGTTCGATAAAAGAGAAACCATTTTGGATTTTGAAGTTATACTTAATCACTATGTAATAGTCTATATTTACATTACTGCCACATCAATTTACCTCTTTAATCACTGTTTGTTTTATTTTCTTCAGTTCATGTTCAACGACCTGAGCGGCTCAGTGTCACTGGCCTGGGTTGGAGATGGAACAGGGGTAAGTGTTGTAAACATCGGGACAGGATTAGGTAAAAAATGGTTGGTTCTTTAGGTGTAAGATAATGTGCTTTGCAATCTTTACAGCTATTTTTGCAACATCAAAGTATGTTGTAAAATATTACTGCTAGATGATAGATGTCTCCTAATTTCCTAAAGTTTAACCTTTATTCTTTGCAGGTCATTTTGGCTTTGACTACCTTTCAGGTGCCTTTCTTCATGTTAAGATTCGGTCAATCCAAACTCTACCGTAGGTAGGTCTTGTAAGCTTACCTGTTGCAAAGTTTGCATGGTGAGCAGCAGATTTCATCTCTTGGTTCTTGCATTTTCTTCTCTGCTAGTGAGAACTACGGGAAGACGTTTGATGATGTGACCAACTTAATCAACAGCACCTTCATATTAACAGAGTTTGGTATAGCAATCGGCCCTGAGAATTCAGGCAAAGTACGCCAAATCCCTGTTTTTTAATTCATTTATACGGAGAGAACAGCTGCAATCGGCTCTAAACAGTAATATTTGGACCCTTGCTTTTAGGTGATCCTGACCGCTGAAGTCTCTGGAGGTGATGGGTATCGGCTTTTTGTTTCCATGGACTTTGGAAAAACCTTCACCCACCTGGACTTGCCTTTCAATCCCCTGATGCAGATCTCATACAATCCGGAGAACTCAAATGTGCTGGCAGTCCTCAGCACCAGGGTAAGACGTGCATACTGAAGACTTTGGTAGGAAAACCAAGTTAATTCGTTAATTATAATGCTGAAACCAAAAATGGTTTAAGTTTTAAACACAACTTTCTCTCTAAACAAAAAAACCCACAGAAAAGCAGTTTATTTTGAATTTTTTTTAGTTTGGACATGTTTTTTTTTAACCAAAGGGAGATCTTTGTATTAGAGCAAAGGTAATTGAATTAAAATGAATATAAAACCAATTAGATTTAATGTACATTATTTATTAAAGGGAAATAACATATTGGTAAATATAGCAGAGAAGCAAATGGCTTGTTGCCAAAACCTGAAAATACCATAACGGTTCTAGCTAATAGTATTGATTTCTATTAATGAATTAATTTCCTTTCTTTTACACAACTAAGCCACACTTAATCAATTTTTGAATGCGTTTCAAAGCAGCATAGCCTTGATGTTAAATATCTGTCTAATTCAGAAGTAAATGATGTTGAAAGATTTAAAGAAATAGCCCTGTAATAACTCATAAAATGATTTGTTTAAACTGAACTTGTAACAGGATCTTTAAAAATTAAACTGCCCTTCCTTTGGTCACTAGCTTAAATCTCTGGTGAGAACTGCTTTCTGTTTTGCCAAAATAATGTGATCAACACTTCAGGTTTTATTTATTGCAGAGACTAAATACTGTGAATATTGTTTTTAAAATGTAAACGGTTCTAATCGTTATTAAAAGTAAAAGGAAAAAAAAATTAAACATAACATTTTAAAAGCACAGTTTAAAAATAGTCTAGAAACCATTAGTAAGTGATCAGTTACTTCCTGATTCTCTAGAGAAATTTCGAGATTATATTAAGATCATTTGACTAATTCCTCTGAACCCATTTTCAAATTGGAAAAAATAGCATTTCTAGTGAAACATTTGAACCTTTAAATATCTAGTTAGAGCATTAAATCCCCCAAAGTTTTATATTGATTTATATTTTTCATATCTAATGTAGTTCTGTATTATATTTACCGTTTGAAAAGGTTATATATATTTATTTAAAGCTTATATATATTTGAGAAGACTTAAACCAAGAAGATGAATTGCCAGTTCAGTTTCTTTGCTTAGTGTTTATTTATTAACGTGACTTTAGAGATTATGAGCTGGTCCATAAACTAATGTGTGAACCTAAGTTAATATTTAATTCCGTTTTCAGCATGAACTTTGGCTTTCTGAAGATTTTGGACAGAGCTGGAAGAAGATTCACAACAACGTGTGCCTTTTTAAATGGTGAGACACAGTTGGTGTTAAACTAAACTGAAATCCCAAATAGTTTTATGTTACGAAGCTTTTAAAGTGCTGTTATCTGGTTTTAGGCCTCAGAATAGGAAGAAGGTTCAGTTCCTATTTTCACTGCTGTGGTCTAAGGCAATCTTTTTGCAACCCTAGGCCCAGTGTGGTTTCAAAATGTTGAATGTGTTTAAGTTATTCTCACATGATCGCCTTTGCTGATAGTTTAGGTGGAAAATAAGGATTTGAACTTTATAATGTTGAAGCCTTTTACTGTATTTTGACATGGTTTAAATAGTTTGTAGTAATTGCTAAACATGAAGGGAAATTGGATCACAAAGCTGTGACCAAGCCCTTTTAGAGCCCAATGTTGTTGTTTTTTTTAAACATATTTCCTGGTACTTATCTCTTTGTAAACTTTGAAGCATTTTAGTTTCGTTTCCAGGGTTGCTTTGTGTGTGCAAGGAGTACTGAAATACAGGTGCAAAAAAACCCCCCAAAAAACAAGTGAAGTATATGCGCGATTTGTGGGCCTTTCGCTAGTGATGGAAAGTTTTATCATTAGTGGGCAAGGTGCAGGAGTAAAGAAAGTACATTTTATGTCCATACTTTTTTACAAAAATGAATTTGAATTAGGTAGTTTGCTCCTGTGTTGATTCTCCAATCATTCTGTTACTGCTAGATCAAATCATATACTTCTTATGACCTTTATCTGTGACCTCATTACTAAATGAAGTCACCTTGAATGTAATTAAGATGGTGCTAACGCAAACTTACCAAGAACTAACTTGCCCTTAAGGTGACAAGGGAAGGAGAGCATTCATCAGAAAAGCAGCCAAGAGGCTAATGGTGGCCCTGCAGAAGCTGCAAAGGTCAGGCAGGCAAATCTAACAACATGACAACTATTAGCTGTGCCCTTCATAAATGTGTCCTTTATTGAGAGTGTTAAGTGGTCACATGATGGTTGGGGGAGTTTTTTTCTTGTAGGGTTGAATAGGAGAGTTGATAGGAAGATGAATGAAACTAAATAAAGGATCATTCAACAAGAAAACCTGTTAGAGGCTGGAAAAGAATCAGTGTGGGTCAGATGCTTGATTTCCAGCGGGAGAGTCCATTTTGCGCAGAAAAAAGGGGCAAATATTTCAATCTATAAAGGTATAGTGGAGGATTTTCATGAATTTTTAAAAAGACCCGGCCTCTCAACTATAGAAAAAAAAATGCACATGCACAACCCTGTACCTGCTCCCGAGGAGGAACACCTATTAAACGTGTGCAAGAGAATGCACAAGCCCATTTCTCCTCATGCATGCTCTTTTTAAATTTGATGGCTGCATCGCTCATACAAGCTTACTTTCCAAAAGAAGATTTGCAACTTTTCCACTATGTCAGTAAGTGAAAATGGGGACGAGCACATAGGACGGCCTTACACAAACATGTCACCAGAATGATTGACAATTAGGAGGACCACTTACTTTGACGATCCACCCAGAAAAAGAAAGTCCTCCACTGTACCTTCAAGTGTAAAAATTTGAATGAAACCTTTTCCAGATATTTCAGTTTGTAGTTTCAAATCGAAAGTATGGGATGCAGAAGCAAACCAGTCTTTTCATTAAAAACGGGATTGTGTTGAGATACGACATAAAATCCCAACAAAATGGACTGAAACAGGGATGCAAATGATCAAGTAATAAGTTCATCTTAATCCATTGACTAATGATTAATAAGTGATCCTTTTCTTAAAGAACAGAGATTTAAAAAGATGAAGCAGATGCTATCTGTAATATTGTTCTCTTTTTTTCTGGGAAATCCTCTTCTCTATTTGAGGGTGAAACTTTGTGCTGTTTGCTGTTCTTCTAAACTGGTGGTTCCGGTAACTCTCGAACTAATGTTAAATGTTTGGCTCTATGAAGTGCGTTAACTTACAAAAGCCCTCACAATCAACCGTTTTTATTGATATGATGTATTTTTCTATCACGTTGCATGTCATTTTTGGTTGCTAAGAATGAATTACATTTTGCATCTTAGTCGGTAATGAACAGTTGAAAAAAAGTCCTGCACCAGACTTCATTTGGAATTTTGATCTGGAATCTCCACCAGGATTTTTTTTCTTTCATCTATAAAGATCTGGGCCCACTAAAGAGGGAAACGCAGCTCCCTTGTTTGGATTGTGACCACATTACAACACTTAAAGAAGGTCCATCTACAGGCATTATCAATGAATTGGATGGAGGAAATTGTATTCTGATAAACTATTAATTGACAAGGAATAATAAGTGTATTATTTCAACATTGATGTTTATGACTGATGTCACAAAATGTAGAAATGTTTTTAAGGTTTGAACATATGTGCAGCTAGATCATCTTAAGAAATTTCTCTGAAATCAAGTCGAACATTTGTTTATCCTTAAGTTAATTACTCAATTAAAAAGCTGTGAATAACTCTCATCCTCATGTATTCTTAACCATCTTTTCTTTTATCTGCCTCTCTATGTAGGGGGAAGAAAAATAGCATTTTCTTTACTACCAACCAGAATGGATCTTGCGGTGAGTTTCTCTCAAAGTAAAATTTAAATCTACACAATCTGGATTCTGACAGTTCACCAATTCTTTTTTTATTTTTCATGCATGTAATTTGAACTCTTTAAAATATTATAGGATCGGCTAAATTATTTAAAAAAACAGGATTAACTAAAAAGGCTGACATTACTATTTATATTAAGACAGCAGAAGTTAATGTAAGAAAAGGCAATCAACCCTTATGGATTTGGTCTCAAAGCTGCATGTATATTTTTAATGCACTTTTGTTCATGTCCTGCCTGAATGGTTTAGGTGATAGAGGAATGTTAGAGCTGAGGAGAACCACAGATTTGGGTAAAACCATCAAGACTGTTGCCACAAAGATCTTCTCTTTTGGTCTGGGTGGACGCTTCCTCTTTGCTTCAGTAATGACTGGAAAGGTTAGTATGAAATTGACTTTTTTTTAAGGCTGTTAGGTAATATACCAGTGTTGCATATGAGGAAGAACAGAGCTTGTCATATGAACCTGAAAGAGAATTTTAAAAGACGAAGTATTGACAAAGTAAATATTTCATATTGCATTTGTTAATTAGAACCATCTTTCATGCTATCCTCAAGGAGAATATATTTGGATTCAATGTGTTTATCCCTTTGAAAATTATAGAAATAACATGATCAGAATGGTCAACAGTATTTGGACAAGTAATTTAAAACCAAACTCAATTTGGAAATAACAAGCTATGAGTCATTACACCTTCAACCAACCACCTTCATGGCTGTGGATAAATAACAGCCTGTTTTATTGACAAAAACTGCATTTTTGATGTTTTTTATAAAACAAATGTCTGGTAGCATGTTGTTCCAAAGAAAAAGAAAGAATGCTCAATCCAGGAAATATGCTTGTTTAAAGGAAACGCAGGTAGAGAGGTTAACATTCAGACAAAAGGTTGAAATCTCGAACTCTTTTGCAAACATACAGAAATACGGCCTCCTCTGAGGTCCCTCTGAAATAACTAATAACTAAATAATAAAGTGTGCCATTTGTTTCTAAATGATAACCCTGAAAAAGCTCACTGTAGCAGTTCTGTTTGGCTGATCTTCAAAGTGAAAATAAATTAAAATATCTTGCTCCAAATCTTGTCGGAAAAAGTTGACTAGAGGTCAGACCTTGTATATTTTGCTACTGGCTTGTCAAATAAAGCATACTATACAACACTCTTAAGCATTAGAGCAAATTAGCTCCTATAAAGGGCTGAATATCTTCACCAGTTAATCACTGTTTTATTGTAATTAAACTCCCAGAAAACAAAAACAAAAAACAAGAGACGTATTATGTGCAATAAGGTGAGACTTGTACAGTGAGTGCATGCCTTCATGACAGAGCATTTGCAGGAATTTTTTAGCTCACTTGTATTGTGAAATAGAAGGGCTGTTGACTATTGATGCCTAACTGCCACTGCTGGTCAAACCTGGAGCATTCGTTGCAATATATATCTAAATGTTTATAGTGTTAATGTTAGAATACTTTTTCTGTTACAACTTAGTCTGTTGAAACTCCTTAGACTTGGAGCTCAGTTCAGGGTGACTAAAATATAAAGTCAAAAGGTCATGGATAATTTTTTTTTAGATCTTTTATTTACAGTCAGTGAAATATGAACCTATTTTTGTAATGGAGTTATAGCTGTTTGCAGTATAAAAACCTAGTTTTCCCTTATTGGTTTAAAACAACTACTCTTATATCTCATGTTCTTGTTTTCCAATGTCTCTGGCCTATTGATATATTGGAAAAAAGGCCTATCTTACTTATACTTTTATGTAATTGGAAAACATTTTGTTCTCTCTTTTTTTTCAGAAAACAGGCAGTTGACAACTAACAAAATAATTAGCTCAAATAACTTTCCACTCTAACCGTGCATTCACACCCAACGTGTTTCAGTGTCAAATGTGTCTGGTTTACTTATAGAGTCTATGTAAAGGAAATTCCTATGGTTCATTTTTAGCAATGAAGTTGGGAAATCAGAATTTTTGCAACTCAATAAAGCAACCAATCGGAGAAGCTGATTGATCACAGCTTAGATGAAGAGACAGGCTCTGCATCTAAGAGGTGATCTTTCCTCCCACAACGCTGTCAGTATAAGTTTATTAAAAGATGGATACATATGTAAGAGTAAACTCCACTGGGACCTGCCAGTTAGGAATTTGATTTATTTTCAGTTTTTACAATAAACCTATATAGTCGCTATATATTCACTTTCCACCACTACGGACAACAGCAGGAAATCCCCGACACCCTGGCAGGTTATGGAAGCTCTCACTGAGGATTTCCAACCATATCACCCACCTGTATGCGGTGGTCTGCTGCTTGAAACAACAACAAAATATTTGAAAGTAGGATCATATTAACTGACTGTGAAGATCACATTTTGAGGTGTACTTTTTTTTGCTTGAAAACCGGTTTAAGCTACTTATCATGTCTGCCATTTTATACAAGAGACCAGCATAGGAAAAAAATGGGATAGCTATTATAGATGGATTTAGTAGAGAACCAATTAAGGGTTGGAAAAATGGGAGAAATATGATGGAGGTTTTTCATTTATTTTTTTTTCGGAAATGTAGCACAAATAAATACTCGCCACTGTGGGCTGACTGAACTTTTAAATATCTTTAAGTGAATCGAGTTTGGTAGGTATTGTATGCAAATATTTATTTTGACATCCCTATAAAACAAGGATGTCAAATAGTGGATGCCACTTTGTTATATATTTCAAACAACCTCTCACTGCTGCTGCTTTGGCTGAGTTCTCCTCTGCCTTGTGGCTTTTTTTCCTCACACGCTTTATGTTGGTCATGAAAAAGAAGCAAACAAACTGCTAGCTGCAAAACTGAAGACAGCCGAATAGGAGAAGCTCTTCAAATGTTTGGTTCCATTTAATTTGCTCTAATCTGATCTGCATTCTTCCCATTTCTGCTTCTCTGTTCGAACAGGGAACTCTTAGAATGATTCACGTGTCTGTTGACCAGGGTGAGAGCTGGAACATGGCTCAGCTGCCTCCTGTTGGTCATGAGCAGTTCTACTCCATACTGGCAGCAAACGACGATATGGTTTTCATGCACGTTGATGAGCCTGGAGGTCAGAGCACACAGTAACTCAGATGTTCACCTATCATTATAATGGCACATTGTCCTGTGGAAGTGATGGTCCAACTGATGGCATGTTCATATCAGCTTTAACTTGCACCAGTAAATTATGTAGCTATTACTTGTTTTTCTGACACTTTTAGGACATTAAAACTTTTAATCCTTATTGGGAACATTTTTGAATCCCGAAACTACACCTTGATTGATCCTCATGATACTAAGGCTACGTTCACACTGCAGGCCTTAATGCTCAATTCCGATTTTATTTTTTATTTTTTTTGTGAAATCTGATTCTTTTGCGTGGTTGTTCACATTTCCAAATATATGCGACTTGTATGTGATCTGCATTCAGAAGAGGATGCAATGACATCACGAGAGAGCGTGCTCTGTGTTTAAAGAAGCATGGATGGTAGTGCTGGAGCGCACGTAGCCGTCTTTCATTTCTTTCCCAACCTCAGCCAGTGCATTCACAATACAATCTTTTCAAGAGGATTGAAAATGAGGACTGCTCTCCGCATTATCATCCGCCATTTTTGTTGTTTTTCTTCCTGCTTCTGCACAGCAAGAAGTGACCTTTGTTGAGTATTAATGACTTTCAGGTCAGATGAATGTGAACTGGCCATTCAGACACAGGTGTCATTTGAAAAGATCGTATCGGACTCAGGACCACATAGCAAATGGCCTGGGTTGCATTGGGAAAAAATCAGATATGTGTTGTTCAGACTCTCATTAAAACATCAGCTACAGGTCGCATATGGGCAAAAAAATCTGATTTGGGTCCCTCTAGTCTGCTGTGTGAACTGCTTTATGAGTTGATGTCTTTTAAACATTCCTGCATATCAGTTTGTAGCTCCTAAATACCCACTTCAGATGTTAATAAAGACCTGTGTGATCTTTTTTTTTTTTTTTAGATACTGGTTTTGGTACAATTTATGTTTCGGATGATCGAGGAACAGTTTACTCCAAGTCGCTGGAGCGTCACCTTTATACAGCTACAGGGGGTGACACTGACTTCACCAACGTCACTTCACTGCGAGGAGTCTTTATCACCAGCATCTTGGCAGAAGGTACCTTTTATCCCATACGATGTGCAGCATATCTCAAACAAATTGGTTCACGCATTATCTCGCATTTCAGGACTTTTCCTATGTTTTTATGTAATATTACAACACAAAATATAGTTTAGTTGTGAAGTGCTTTTGCTAGTAAAAAAACCAAACCTGAGGCATGTGCTTGTAAACTTAGTGAATTTGGAAAACCAACTATTTCTCCAATTGAGCTACAAGCCGTTTGGACTATTTCTCAACCACTACATCAGGAAATAACAGTATTTCCTCACAACTCTTCCTTACTTTGTTGATTGGGTTACTAGTTCTCTGCATACTGCTCTACATAAAGTAGCCCATTTGAAATAGAAAAATATCTCCTTAGTTTATTGCAGAGCTGCAGACTTCTAAACTGAAGGCTAGGAAACTGGAGAGAAAATGGCGCTCTACATGCCTACAGGAATCCTACCTAGTCTGGAAAAACAGTTTACTGCTTTAGTTGATGACCCTTTGTAGAGCAATAGCAGCATATTTTCCTCTTTAACAGAGGAGAATAAGAAAAATCCTAGATATCTTTTTAATAAAGTTGCCAAACTCACCCAGAGCCATAGCTCTGTTGAACCATCCATTGATTATATTAAAGATAAAATCATTAGCACACCTTTAAATATAACTGGTTTATCTCTGGAAGGTGAGGCAGAATCTGAGGTAACCATAAAATCTTTTCTTTATTTGGACTGTTTAAGAAACCGTCTCTTGACCCAGATGACTTGGTAAATTATATACCTATATCCAATCTTCCTTTCTTATTCAAAACAAAAAAAACGTTGCTAAGCAACTGTGTGACCACTTACACCTTAATTAATTGTTTAAAGAGTTTCAGTTTGGCTTTAGATTTCATCATAGCACCGAAATGGCTCTGGTGGAAATTGCTAATGATATTCTCATGGCCTCAGATAATGGACTTGTATCTGTACTTGTCCTGTTAGATCTCAGAGCTGCATTTGAGCAAGTTGATCATAATGATAGACTTGAATATTTAGCAGGAATCGGGGAACAGCACAAGGCTAGTTTAAATCGTATCTACCTTAACTTTTGTTTTCACCTCACCAGCATTCCCGTGTGTTTCTTCACTGCTTCTCTATTGCTCTCCTTGCCAGGCCTTTAATTTTAGCTGGACGACGATGTGTTGTTGTACCGTGTTCTTTTCTTTTCAGATGACATATTGAAAAGAGCTTTCCTAGATGCTCAAAGTGTTTGATAGCATTATATAACCTGATTACTTTAAAACTCATCTCAACCTTTTCCCTGATCTGTTTGTTCCTTGATTTTCTTGGTGATGTTTCTTCACTAAAGTTTTCAGAAAAAAAAAAATAAAGTCTGATTTTCAACAAGACAATGGTCCTTTTTTCTGATTAAATTAAGTGGTTGTAAAAGATTTTATTTAGGACTTTTACAGAAAGGAAGAATGAATCCAACTGCATACGGTTTGTATTTGTGGTGGGGGGTGGGGAGGCATTTCTTTCACTGCATTTGGGCATTTTTCGTTTTGGGCTTTAACAAAATAATTGGTACTGGCCTTAAATACTTTAGCCAAATTGTGTTCCAGCCCTCAGATTCTCCTTAGTAAAACAGTCACAGATATTTCACAGATATTTCTTCCTCATTACGCACCCATAAAAAGTGTTTGCAGTAAATATTTAATTAGACATTCAGTGTTAGATGTGTTTTTCAGGCTGAAGCAAAAAAAAAAAAAGAAAAAAAAAAAACCTCATCACTACTTTTGCACTTTGTTGATCAGTCTGTTAATGTGTTAAATTAGCTAAATCAAGCCAAGTCCCTTTTTACCCAGCGTTTCTAGTTTGTTCCTTGGCTTCCTATAAATATGTTCTCCTTGTGTTTGTGTTTCCAGATAACTCTGTGCAGTCTGTAGTGTCCTTTGATCAGGGAGGAGAGTGGCTTCCCCTGCGGAAACCTGTCAACAGCAAGTGTGATGCTACGTCTAAGGACCCAGACAAGGTACACTTTCTCAAAGTATTGCTGTAATTATGTAAAAAAACTAAACAAAAAACATAGTTTTATTGTTATTATTATTATTATTTTTTTACATATATCCTCATCAGTGTGTCATTCTGATATTTGCAGAAACCAAATAATGAAATGAGTTTGTGTTGCTTTTGTAATCAACAGTGCAGCCTCCACATCCATGCAGCTTACAGCACTGCTATGAAGCTGAGCGTCCCCATGCTGCCTCTGACAGAACCAAACGCTGTGGGTCTAATCATAGCTCATGGTAAAAATCATGCTGAAATTACATTGTAGAAATGTTTTTTTTTTTAATCTTTTTAAACGATTGCTTTTCAACCTCTGAGCATTTTCCTGCAGGCAGTGTCGGGGATGCCATCTCTGTGTTGAAGTCTGATGTGTATGTGTCTGATGATGGTGGCTACACCTGGATAAAGGCTCTTGAGGGGCCCCATCACTATGCTATGCTGGACTCAGGAGGGCTGCTGGTAGCTGTGGAGGACAACGGCGAACCCATCAACAAGATTAAGTGAGTAACTCAGTTAGAATAAATATAAAACCTTAGCTGATAATCTGCTTCTCTAGCTTTTTGAGATTGCTATGAAAGTATAAATTGGGCAATCTCTGTCTGCAGGATTTAAACTATCCTTGTCCTAAACAGACTTATAATTATGCAATTTTTTGAAAATGCAAACGTGAAATCAATGCATCTATGCATTTGATCTTAAACCTGTGCTATTTATTCAGATTTCTTTTTTATTTACTACTCTTTATCCTTCCTTACAGATTTTCCACTGATGAAGGACAGTGCTGGAATGTTTATAACTTCACAGAGGAGCCAATCTCATTTACAGGGCTGGCATCAGAGCCAGGAGCTCGTTCCATGAATGTCAGCATCTGGGGCTACAGGGAGAACTTCATCAGCCAGTACTGGGTCTCCTTCACTATCGACTTCAGGGAACTTCTCACTAGAAGCTGTAAGTTATTCATTTAAAAAAAAAAATTCCTAATGAGACTTCATTATGTTTTCAATGATTTTCTTAAACTTTACTGATGTTTCTAGGTGACGATAACGATTATGTGGAATGGTTGGCCCACTCTGATGACATCAGTGACCCCAACGATGGTTGCATGCTGGGTTATAAAGAGAAATTCCTGCGGCTCAGAAAGGACTCTGTTTGCTTGAATGGACGAGATTATATTGTGAACACACAGCCGACTCCATGTCCATGCACCCTGGATGACTTCTTGTGGTGAGATATAGAGCAGATGTTTATTTTTTTTTGTCTAAACCCAGAATATCCCTTGCTTATCAATTTGGAGATGTTCTTATTGATGCTGGGATTTTTCACAGATTGTCACATTGCAATCACCAACTTGAACATATTTAAAAGGGCTATAATGCATAACATTTTTGATGATGACGCTGTTGAAAAGTTTTAAGCAGAGTTAGGTTGGAAACCGAGGGGACTGTAGCTGAACTTCAAACCTACCAAGATGTGACCAACTCAAAGGCCAGGATACAATTAATCAGAAAAGCATTCAAGAAATTCCCCACTCGGGTGGCGGAATTTTTGAGTAGGATAACTGTTAATCACACATAAGCAAAGAACGAGCAGCAAGAAAAGCTGCCATAAGAGTCACATCCTGTTTTCTTTCAAGTTAACCTGTCAAAAGAAACCTGATACGGTGTGTGTTCGATTTCAGAGGCTGCGTCCTCCAAGGACCGGTCTGTCTGGACCAGGTCCTTGGAGGCCTGTAAAAATGAGGAGGCCAGAATCGTTTTCGCTATGGATTCAAACAGGTTCAACCTTCTCCTGCTTTCATTGCCCGTACGCTCTGTCGCCTAGCAACTATATGGGTTTACACAAAAAGCAGGCAAAGAATAGATGCCCAACTTCTCACTACTGTTCTGGGTGCTAATGCTATTTCGAGGAGCTTTAGCAGCAGTACAGTCATCATGAAAATCAGATTTATTGTCCCCACACTAAACGGATATTAGAACCTGAGCCTAAATGTCCGACAAACCCATTTATATAGGGACAGATGAAACCAAACATTATCCGCCACATATCTGACTCAATAAACCAACTATTTTCATTCATTTCAGACGGAACTATTCACATACTTGTGTTCGATTAAATTGCACTTGCAGTATTCACTACTGTTCGGTGCCAAGTACCTTTTTCCTCTCAGCACGGAGCAGCCGGCTTGTTTTGACTCACAATGAATCATGGGATACCCAAGGCTATGTAGGATACACTGGACCTGTCCTTGAAAACGGGCAAAAAGAAAGCTGCATTTGTTGGCCGTATAACGAGGATTCTTCCAATTTGAACAGGCCTCGGCGCCGCTATAATAATAATAATAATAATATTACATTTTATTTAACAGCGCCTTTCTGGACACTCAAGGTCACTTTACAGAAAATACAAAAAATAAATAAAAAGAAAGATGAAAATACAAAAATACAGGAACATAAAAACAATTATGGATAGGGAAAAGAGCAGTGTATTAACAGATAAGCAAGCTGGAACAGATGGGTTTTGAGTCTGGCTTTGAATAAGAAGAGAGAGTCAATACTGCGGAGGTCGAGAGGAAGTGAGTTCCAGAGCTGGGGAGCAGAGCGGCTGAAGGCTCTGCTCCCCATGGTGACAAGTCAAGCTGGGGGTACAGTGAGGTGGATGGAGGAGGAGGATCTAAGGGAGCGGGAGGAGGTGGTAATGTGAAGAAGGTCTGACAGATATGGAGGAGCAAGATTATGGATGACTTTGAAAGTATAGGGAAGGATTTTAAATTGAATTCTGAATTGAACTGGGAGCCAATGGAGTTGGTGAAGGACAGGGGAAGTATAATCGCGTAATCAGCCGACGACTCTGGCCTTCGGAGGACGTATCCGCCGAATTTGAACTCTGTATCACCCTTAGCGCATCATCTCCATGGTAATCCTTGATGAGGCTTTTGGAAAGCTCTTTTCAAACAAAGAGAGGGAAGCTGGTTTAAGTTCAATATAAATGTTTTTCAGATTTCTTTTTTTGAAAAAACTTAAAAAAAAAAAAAAGACAAACTGAGTGACTGTTTTATTTTTTCACTTCAAAACCTGGTGTGGAAAAGGTAAAAACTCTATGAATACTGAGAGTGTTTAAAGCCATGCTGGTTTTGTGTGACTGTTTGCAGTGACTTTGGATACCAGCGTAAAGAGAACAGCTCTGAGTGTGTGGAGCAGCCTGACCTGCAGGGCAAAGTGTTGGAGTTCTGTCTGCACGGCAAAGAGGAGCAACTGCAGACCAGTGGGTGAGGTTTCAGACTGAGTCAAAACTTGGCTTGAAATAGAGTTTGGTTCGTCACTTTCCATTTATTGAGAATAACACTCTACTCTGTATCCATATGCATTAGCAGTACCTGTTAGCTCTCTAGAACTTGATTCAAATTTTCATCAGGTTAGCGTATAATTCTGAAATTATGTAAGCAAGCATATTGCTTAGGTTTTAGGAACTGTGTGAATTGCACAGAAATCATGCTGTTTGCTAGGAAGAAAATTGTATTCTGTAGTTAAAGTGGCAAACTTAGAAGAAGGAAGTTACTCTCATGTAGAAAGAGGAGAGAGGAAGCTTATCAGGATGACAATGAAACTTGTGGGTAAGGAGGAATGTTGCCTAGAACTAAACTTTAGGCTTAACCTTTAATTTAACTTAGCTGAGGGTACATTTTAAATGGTATAAGGGTTTAAAAGGGTTATAACTATATAATTGGGAAGGCTGTTGCATCACTGAAGACAGCTTTTTCTAAACTTTATTATTATAAATTGTTTTAAAAATGCATATTGTATGGATTCCATTATGTTGTATTTCTAAGACTATTAAATAAGTTATAATGGTTAGACGTCTTATAATGCAACTCAAATATGTTCTTTGTTGTTGCCAATTAAATAATAAAATAAAATAAAAAATATTAGCTATTTCTTTCCTTTTTCTTTTCTTTGATCTTTGACCATTTATAACAAATGTTCTTTTCGGGGATTATAATATGATCTGTTTTGGCCCAAAGGTACAGGAAAATTCCCGGAGATAAATGTGAGGGAGGAGAGATGCCTCAGCGTAAAGAGATTGACCTCAGTAAGAGGTGCGTCAGTGATCTGGTATCTCCAGAGCTACAGGTAAGCAAGCAAAGATTTTCCTGATTTATTGATATGTTGGTAATCTGTTTCTGAGCATGTAGTTCCCACCTTTTTATCTGCTTCTACTTTCTACAGACAGATGGTCATTCCTCCAAGTCAGTGCCCATTGTGTTAGCAGTCATCGTTGTCCTAGTGCTGAGCATCGCAGCGGGCGTGGTCTTTGTAAGGAAATACGTCTGCGGCGGAAGGTTGGCTAATATCAGTTCATATTACATTTCCAAACATTCTGAATCTTGTTTTTTTTTTTTTTTGGTGTCTTGACAATGTCCTGAATGTGTCCTGCAGGTTTGTAGTGCACAGGTATTCTGTGCTGCAGCAGCACGTGGAGGAAAATGCAGCAGATGGGATGGATGAGCCACTAGAAACCAACCATGCTCCTAATGGCAAAATAGAATTCCATGATGACTCTGATGAGGTAGGTTTGAAAATTTGTTTTTCCTAAACCAAACTCACACAAACGTCCAAATAGGCTCAGAGTTTTCAGCCATGAACACTAAATATAAGCTGAGTATAAAGTCTCCTCTGTTCTCTGATTGTAAGGAAGTATAAATATAAGGCATAACATAGATATAAGTAAGTTGACTGCATGCAGGTTTTTATAATAAAATGGCAAAAAAAGTCCAAGCTTTAGACCTTAAATGAAAGGATTTTATAAGATATACTGTAGACTTATTGGAATCCATAACAAAAAGCCTTTTAAATAGATTGATTTCTGTAGCATAATGAGAAGAGGAAAAAAATATGCATTTATTTTTATACATGTATAGAGTAAGAAAGAAATATTCACATGCAATCATTTTTTGTGTTTTGTTTTTTTTAATAACTGGTGCCTTAACTTTGTTTTTTCTTTGGGGTTTAATTATTTTTTTTTTTGACCATCTAGAAACTTTGAGTGAGAAATCAACATGTTCCTTAAATTTTGTAACACGAGGATCTGTTTCTGTTTACCATAATCTTTTAGGATTGAAAAAGGCTTTGTATCCAACCTTGAAAAGTGTAAAGGTGTTAAGGCTACTGACACTCGCCTATGTAACTTTAGAGGGTCACGTCATTCTCTGAATGAGTCATGTGACTCATGGTGCCACTTTCTGATAGTTTGACCTCACCTTAAACATTAGAGTGAATGCTGAAAGTTGTCAAAGTTGGTGAGCAACAAAATGCATATAACACTTACCTAATTAGAATTATTTTTGGTTCTCTGATGTAGGATTTAATCTAGAGGGGTGATTGTGGCCTGGTTTTAGTAGACAGCTCTAATACTTCTCAATCTGCTGGAGCAAAGTGGTCAGTCTGTTTTCTTTTGTGACAGTGCAGTGCCCTCAGTTGTTTTAAGAGCCTCCAAACCTGGAGGTTACAGATCCAGCTCCCCTAGTGGCTAAAAGTTATCCAGCACTGGTTTTTGCACTGGATTTTAGCTGCACCCTATAAGATATTCTGTCCACAAATGCAAACACATTGTTTTTCCTTCATATCAAAGTTTTATAACTATAGGATAAACAGACACTTCTATAGTAAAGTGATCCCAGTTACATCTCTGGAGCTACTGATTATCCTGGCCGGGTTTCAAAGACCAGCTCTCTGTTCAGGCTGGGGAAGGACTTGACTTGTTATATTATGAGTAAACATGTAACTTGAAACCAGCATCGCCTCAACTAGATTCGTACTTAAAGCAAAGAAATACGACACTAACCTGCATATCTGACACCTAAGGTAGTTGTAATTACAGCATGATGGAATTTTAAAGTTTAGACCAATTAAGGTCACTTGGATAATGGGGTTAGTTTTGTAAAGAGATGTATTCATTTACCCATGGTGGTTTTGTCTTCAGTGGTATGCTGTCTTCTGTTTGTGCAGGATCTGCTTGAATAGCAGGGACCACCTGTTAAACAAGCGGGTAACTGGTTGGCCTGCAGCCAGCCGCTGTTCCCATCACTCTCCTCTCCAGTTACTTCCTCCTCTCACCCTCTGATGTAAACTTCAGCCTCAGCGACAGAAACTCTGCTGTCATCGGCGAAGTCAAATGAATGTAAGGAGGCTTCCTGAGACTTAAAGCCACTGTTGAAGAGAACCATGAAGGAGGTCTTGACATGTTTAAGGTATCTGTTCTGTTGAGTACGTTTTAATTTTTAAGTTATTTATTTCATGAGGAAACAGCTGAACATGCTGACAGAGATTGATAAATTAATCAACTGTATGAAGGCATCTCTGCTTTACGGGTTCTATCTTTTTCCATCTTTTGTAAGAGCTCCTGAAAAGGTCTTTTTTTTTTAACCTCTTAAGGATTTGTGTTTGTTTTCTTCATGTACTTGTCCATAAATGCTTTTTCTTTATTAGTCTTTAATCAAATATCATTTTGGTGAGAGCTGAAAAGCCACAGCTGGCATCCGGTTAATATTAAGTCCTACAGACAGACTAAGTCTTAATGGGTTTTTTTATGGAAGTATTTATACTTCCACGTTCCTGATAACTTAATTTTTTGCTTATTAATAAACTCTTTTACTTCTTTCTATCTCGTTGGAGGTACAATTCTGCAGCTCTTTGCATTGTGTAAAAGTAAGAAGGGATGCACCAATCAGGTTTTTTCTACCCTTGGGTTTTGATCTTCCCATTTTGACTGATAATTTTTTCCATAGTAATTAATTAAATGAAATGTAATTAATTATGTTAATTTTAAACAGCTGGTGGTTTTTAGTTCAAAAGAAATGAAGAAATTACAAGATTATCCACTAATTTAATTTTTCTTCTGGGTTAAAACTTTAGACTAATGAATTAATTCACCTTCCTTTATGGGAATTCTATTTTTTGATATATGTTAAAGTGAAATAATAATATAATAATAATAACAATTCAGTTTTTTACTATTTGAATCACAAAGCAGAACCAGTCGTTGGAAAATTGTCCCGATTTCAATTTCCGATCGATTGATTGGTGCATCTCTTGCAATAAGGCATCTCTATGAGGTTTAGAGCAATAACCTGTGAAGATTTTGTAAAAAATTAACATATTGTCTGTGCATGACAGTTATTCTTCTCTGCACATCTCTTAGAGTTGTTAGTTGTCTTGTTAATCCAAACAATAGAAGCTTAGAAAGATGTGTTTAAAACTCTGAATGCAGTTTTAACCACTTAAAGCACAAAAGTCCCCTTAGAAGTTCAGCATTTGCCGCTGAATATTTTTCCAAAATAAAACCTATTTTAACAGTAGTGATCACCTTAACCTTGTGTGCTCCACGTTTGTGATAATCTGAGCAGTTTTATACTACAATTTAAAAAATATGTGACATATCTTTTGCAATAACTAGAAAACCAAAAGTATAGGAAAATTGGTGAAGGATAAATAAAGCAAAAAAAAGGTTCTAAATTATATAAATGTTGTAAAAAATAAAACCGTGTTGGAAGTTGAATAAGCTGCAGCATGTTTGTTTCTGGTTGTGGTTCACACTGACTTCTGCTTTTTTTTCTGTAACCATGGTAACCATGTCTCATATTTTTCTTAAAAACATTTTTTTGTTGCAGTTTTTTAAATTTTATAGGTTTACTTTATTTATCCAGCTGGTGCAGATTGCAGTAAATTACTGTAGGTGTCGTTAAACAAGTGCCTGGTGTGAGAATTTGACCGATTTCCATCATATTGTTAGTTTGAACAGTAATGGCAGCAACAATCACAAACTGGACATATTCCAATTGCAAGTCAAATTAGAGGAGTATCTGAATTAGTTTCCTTAACAAATATCTGAAAAAATATGTAAAAGAAATGTAATAAATTCAGTTCAGGCTCAGACCGTTTGGCACATTTAGCACAATATAAGGTGGTCTTATGTAAAGGTTCTTATGTAGCTGCATTGCATTGGAAGACAGTCTTTTAAATGGAGCTTTAAGAATTTTGTTGAAAACATGTTTTCCTTACATTTTTAAACTGCTGTACTGATTTCAAAAGAGTCATTGTGTTGTGTAAATATTCAGGTTTAAACATTTGTAACTACTGTTTCCCTTTTCTGTATATTTCTTTGGGTTTGGAAATAAAGTAATGTTCCTCTTTTTTTGTGTTTACCTGTTATTTCATATGAACACCAATTTTATTTTTGTGTGTGTTTATTAAAGGTTTAAAATCTTAAGATTTAAAGTGTTGTATTTCCAAGGTCGTAAATGGTCCTTTTGATCCAAAGATTGAGACTCTAGCTGAGTCTCTATGTCCGTGTTTTTTTTAGGAACTCTCAGGTTTATGTCACTCCTGGTCAGTACTGTACTGTTGTGTCAAAGTAGTAAGATACTTTAACACAATATGTCAATGAAGCATATAAATGTGTTGTATGTCTTTATACTTTAAGGTATTGTGGAGAATTTCTGTGTATTTTTGAAAAAACCCGCCCTCTCCACTTTAAAAAAAAATGCACATGCACAGACCTGAAACTGCTCCTGAAGGGAACACCTATTACAATAGTAGCCATTTTAAATGTCCCCTTTTTCCTTGATGGGCCCTTGGCTGGTCTTGGCTAGTCCCCTACAATTACTTTATGAACATCCAAAATATTTTTTGTCAAGATTCTTTAAGATCTAAAGAGAAGCGTTATCTTCTGGTCTGACACTGTAATTCAGTGAGAGGGTGGAGTCAGAGTAAAAAAATATGCACATCCATGAGAAGGCCAGTGGCTGGAAGTTGGAGGGGATTTTGCTTCTTTTGGGTTTTGACTGGGAAGGGTCATTTTGAATAACTGCTGCTGTAAATGCTTGTGAGAGCGTGCACAAAACCCATTTCTCCTCGTGCATGCTCTGTTTAACAGTTGCTGTTTGCATCACTCATGCAAGTTTACTTGCTGAAAGAAGATTTGCAATTTTTCTACTATGACAGATTCAAGAATGGTAAGTGAAAATAGGGACGGGCAACTAGGATGGTGTTACGTAAACATATCACCAGAATGATTTACAATTAGGAGGACCATTTATATAGATGATCCACCCAGAAAATCAAAGGAACATCCTATACCTTTAACAATCTTTATTCTGATACCCTTAATTTGAAAGTTTACCATAAGGTGTATATAAAGGACAAAAAAAAATGCAGCTTCTCTGGTGAGATGAAATTTGAACTCTTTTATCACAAATTAAACACTGAGCAGGGGAGGGGAGGTGGTTGTGCAGAGACCCATTTATCGAGGATTTAGTCCTTAATATTCACTGATTCTGTAAGAAACTTTATTTCAGCATGGACGGAACAGAGAAGCAGATCAGAGTTGATGAATGGCGCCAAATACAGGAAAATCCTGGGTGCCCAAAGTTGGCAGAGGCATACAGGTCCTTCTCAAAATATTAGCATATTCTGATAAAGCTCATTATTTTCCATAATTTAATGATAAAACATGAACATTCATATATTTTAGATTGATTGCACACTAACTGAAATATTTCAGGTCTTTTATTGTCTTAATATGGATGATTTTGGCAAACAGCTCATGAAAACCCAAAATTCCTATCTTACAAAATTAGTATATTTCATCCGACCAATAAAAGAAAAGTGTTCTTAATACAAAAAAAGCCAGCCTTCAAATAATTATGTACAGTTATGCAATCAATACTTGGTGAGGAATCCTTATGCAGGAAATGATTGCTTCAATGTGGCATGGCATGGAGACAATCAGCCTGTGGCACTGCTGAGGTGTTATGGAGGCCCAGGGTGCTTCGGTAGCAGCCTTTAGCTCATCCACAGTGTTGGGTCTTGGGTCTCTCAACTTTCTCTTCACAATATCCCACAGATTCTCTATAGGGTTCAGGTCAGGAGAGTTGGCAGGCCAATTGAGCACAGTGATACCATGGTCAGTAAACCATTTACCAGTGGTTTTGGCATTGTGAGCAGGTGCTAGGTCGTGCTGAAAAATGAAATCTTCATCTCCATAAAGCTTTTCAGCATATGGAAGAATGAAGTGCTCCAAAATCTCCTGATAGCTAGCTGCATTGACCTGGCCCTTGATAAAAACACAGTGGACCAACACCAGCAGCTGATGTGGCGCCCCAGACTATAACTGACTGTGGGTACTTGACACAGGACTTCTGGCATTTTTGCATTTCCTTCTCCCCAGTCTTCCTTCAGACTCTGGCACCTTGATTTCCAAATGACATGCAAATCTAATCAACAGTCCAGTGCTGCTTCTCTGTAGCTCAGCTCAGGTGCCTCTGCCGCTGCTTCTGGTTCAAAAGTGGCTTGACCTGGGGAATGCGGCACCTGTAGCCCATTTCCTGCACACGGTGGCTCTGGATGTTTCTACTCCAGACTCAGTCCACTGCTTCCGCAGGTCCTCCAAGGTCTGGAATCGTTGTGCAGCATTTTCTGCCACACTTTTTCCTTCCCAGAGACTTCCCACTGAGGTGCTTTGATACAGCACTCTGGGAACAGCCTATTCGTTCAGAAATATCTTTCTGTGTCATACCCTCTTGCTTGAGGGTGTCAATAATGGCCTTCTGCACAGCAGTCAGGTCGGCAGTCTTACCCATGATTGGGGTTTTGAGTGATTAATCAGGCTGGGAGTTTTAAAGGCCTCAGGAATCTTTGGCAGAGTTAATTTGTTGATTCAGATGATTAGGTGCATAGTTCGTTTAGAGACCTTTTTCATGATATGCTAATTTTTTGAGCAAGGAATTTTGGGTTTTCATGAGCTGTATGCCAAAATAATCTTTATTAAGACAATAAAAGACCTGAAATATTTCAGTTAGTGTGCAATGAATCTAAAATATAAGAATGTTCAAGTTTTATAATTACATTATGGAAAATAAGGATTTTTTTACAATATGCTAATATTTTGAGAAGGAGCTGTACTGGTTAGACTGGAACTGGAATAATGCATGTATGTTTTTATACTTTATTTGGAAAAACAATTTTTGAAAATCATGCATCACTTTTCCTCAGCTTCACAATTACACTCTAGTTTGTGGTTTTCAAATCAAGGCATGTCATTGTTCGACAAAATATGGAGAGGTTCTAAGGGGTAAAAACACATTTGCAAGTCACTTTAATATATATATATATATATATATATATATATATATATATATATATATTTTTTTTTTTTTGCAATGATGCATCTATAGCGGTATAGACTAAAGATTAGTTTTGATAAACTGTATAGGAGTAAAGCTTGTGAATGTATGTTCCTGCTTCAAATAAGTTCAGATGGCTGATCAGCTGAATAATGAGTTTTAAAGCAACCCAAATTAATTTGAAACATTTCGCAATAATATGCATAAAATACTAAATGACTCTCCAGTGTGTTGGTTAGTTTCCACATCTGCAAACTATTGAGAGTTGGCAGTTGCATTGACTTTGTAAAATGAGTAAAGAAATTTTCGAAAAAAAATAGTTCTAAAGCAAAATATCTGGTTCTGACAGATTTGCAGGAACTGAATACAGAAAACATGCATCAGTTTCTTTCCACTGGAGATGAATCTTTTGAGCTTATCCATTTTATAAAAGCTATTAGAAGTAAATGGTCTTGGCCAATTAGAAAAAAAAAGATTCAATTGCATAGATTTTCCTCCATAGATTTTTTTTTTAAGATGCCTTTATTATAGTACAATAATGTACATTACACAATTTCATCTTCAAGTTTTTATGCTCTCAGATTCGATACAAAAAGTTTCCCTCTGCATCAAAGTAATCGTTCCCCATCTGCACCACAGGTGAGGGTTTATCTGTATCCAGGAGCTCCTCAAGTTCCTCCTCTGTCAGCACCTGCCCATCCCAGCTGTCCTCACGCTCTTCAGCCTCCTCAGGCTTTGCCCTAATGCCACCATCATCTATCGTTGACCCCGTCACTGTGGAGTCTTTACAAATTCCAGTTGGTAGTTTGGGAGGCTCAACGGTGACTGCGGATTTTAAAGCTTTACTTTGCAACATCTGTGTCTGAGCAGTGACAGATATCAGAGCATCCTCTGTCCTCCCGGATGTTAGCATGGCAGGTGTTTGATTCGCAGCCAACTTCAACAGCTTCTCTTTTGTCCGACTGCCTGAAGGCAACACCTGCTGGCCTAGTTTAGCCATGGCTTTAGCATCCTGTTTGGCCTTTCTGTCCTTAGAGGGGGTAAACTTGCTCTTCAAGACCCTCAGGATGACATGTGAGGGAACAGAGAAGCCCTCAGCAAGGCGCTCTACCGTCCACTCCTCCGGCTGTTCTTGCTTCAGATATCTGAAATGAGTGGGGAAAGTATCAGCAAACCTACAAGCTAGAGAGATCTTTTCTTCCAATAAAATATTTTTTCTTTGAGCTGCAAAATGTTTGACCTTTCGAGAAATACATATATATGAACAAATATATATATGGTTAGAATTAAACACATACTTGTTTTAGAAGCCAGAAAAGCAAATATGTTTATTTTTATTCCTTTATTTATTTATAACAGTACATAGTAACTGCTCAAAGGGTAAAACTTTAACAAACTGCTAAATCTATAATTAGAAATAATTAAATGTAAAAAAGATGACTAGTTTTAGACAAAAAATAAAGAGCCTTACCTTATTTGTTCAATAGCAGCCCATGTTAGCTCCCTCTGGGGGGCTCCAGATGGAGCCATCTTCCTTCTTATTATATCATATTTGACTGATCGCTGTCTGTTTCTCTCCTTGCTGAAATGAGATCATTTGTTTACATTTATAAAACAAACATCAGTGTGTTTGCATTAAGAATAATGGATCTTACTCCAGCACAGCCTGCAGTTTATCCTCCATCTCTTCCAGCTCAGTCTCTCCATCGTCGTTGAATCTGGACCTCTGTGATCTGTCTCTATCAGGACCCACACGGTTCTGGCCCATCCAGGCTTTGCTGCTTATTTTGCTGGAAGATCTGAGGCAGTTTAGATGAACGGAGGGAGCTGAAAACCCAGCGAGGAGGCCGAAGAACTGCAGAGGTCGCGCCATGCTAACAAACGAAGAAGCTTCACTAACGTTTTATGCCAACAGCAGGATCTGTTGACAAAACTTAACGATTTTTTTTCTTCTATCAACGAAAACCTTACATAACACGAATAACGAGAAACTAACAGAACCAAGAGACCTTCTTTAGTCTTCACATGCTCACATGTACGCTGTTATCTAGTTTGACAACTTCCCCAAACACAACTTAGAACGCATGTAAACAAAAGGTGCTGCCACCTAGCGAGATGGAGGACCGTGTTTTTCCGCCCTAAATCTCGACGCATAAATAAAGCTGGAAAATACTTTTTTTGTCAATGATACGACAGTTGGCTTTACTAACTTCAAAAAGTAAAAAAATATAAGTTTAAAAAATAGGATATTAATAAAAGAAATACATTGAACAAAATATATTTATTTAAATATCGAAATAATTAATTAGAATAAAATAAAAATCCCTTCATTGACCCACAATAGGGATATTGTGGTGTTACAGCACCAAATAATTTATCAAACGTGCTCAAACAAATGTGGAACTTAAAAAAGGTGTATATAGTGTGAATAAAGGCGCTATATAAGTACAGGACATTTACCAAAGTGTATAGAAAAAACAGAATAAGTTATAGAGTTAAGAAAATAAACAAGTAAAACACTGTACTGCCATTGAAAAAAAAAATGCAACCGCTTTTGGCATTTACTTAATCATATTTAGTTATTTTACCACAATTGTTTTATGTCCCACCCCGCTAACATGAAACAATTGTTTTAAAGGAACTAAATATGATTAAGTAAATGCCATCTTTATAAAATCGTTTTATAAATATGTATAACTATCTGTTTTAATCAATTTTAGGGGGAGCAGTAGCAAAATAACTATTTAATATAAAACGTAATGATAATAGTATTAATCATCTTTTAACCAAATGTTTGTACATTTTTACATATTTTTCTATATTTCATGTTCGTTTTAAGGAAATATTTTAATATTTAGCAAACATGTTGATTGTTTAATGTATAATGGCACTTTGGGCCCTTCATATAGTTTAGGAGGCAACTTTTATAGGAAATTAAAATGGAGTTTTCACCACAAATAACACAAAGTGAATACCTGAATAGCCGAGTGGATTTATAGAGATAAAACTGATTACACTTACGACAGTTATAAACTCTGTGTGTAAACATTTTCAGGTTAAACAGCTAACAGAAAAATATAGCTTAAAATTATTTTTATAATTCACGACTGTTAAAAATTATTTAAGCATCATTTTAATCCTAAATTCAACAGTATAATAACTGACATGTTTTACGATTAACAGACTTACACATTTTTTTTATGAAATAGTATTTAGTAAAGAAGAAATGAAATCTATAATTAAACAAAAGGTTAAGGAAAGATGGCAAAAGCAGTGGGAAGAGGATAGAACTGGAAGGTGGCTTTACAGTATTCAAAGAAAAGTTGGTAAAATGAGGAGAACAGGAAGAAATAGACAAGAGGAAACCATTTTATCCAGATTATGTTTTGATCATACAAGGTTAAATAGTACATTATTTAAAATGAAAATAAACGAAAACGAAATTGATAGAAAGAATATACGATTTATTAACTTAATTATTATAATTTTTATTATAATTTTATGTTATTTATTTATTTTTTGTTTTGTAGGAGAATTTTTACATAGCATCCCGATCCACACTCCATTCCATTAGATGGCGGTAAAGCGCATCAATAAGTTGCTTGCAAACCGCCATAAAAAAAAGAAGAAAAATAAGATTAAGACTTAGCACCACCCACTGGCAGAAAGAGGTATTGCAATCAGTCCCATCCCCTGGAGTCATGCGTCACGCGGCTGCGCACCTCCTCCCAGCTGCCGTTGTTTCATTTGCGCCATTTTGTCCGCTCACTTTGTTGATTGGGTTTTAGCGAGCTGTACTGGAGCCAATCAGAGGGAAACCGGACAGTGAAGATACGGTAAGGGAGCCACGATTGAAGGCATTGGTAGTTGTCAGCACGGATTGGTTTGTCACGGACCAACCAAATTACTAACCCTGCTTAATGCAGGAAAAAAATTACATTTGACTTTAATTTTGACCGCTGTGTCGCCGGA